AACTGATAGAAGCCAACGCATTTATCGACCATTTGTACAGGAACTCTCGGTTGAGTGCTGGGTCGGGGCCAGAGGTGCACCCGCGTCTAGGACGGCAACTTGAACTGCGCAAAACCGTGGGGCAGCACTGTATGCAGCTCATATAACTCCCCATGCCCACATGGAAATGTCAAGAGTGCTGGTACATAGGTAAAAGGTCAATTGTACGGTCCTGTCATCGATTGGGACCATTTCTGCGACTATGTCGCTGCCATGATGCCAATCAGGGGTGTCGGACCACGTTGGGTCAACATCTGGCACAATGACCGTCGGAACGAGCAGATGGGTGTTAAATTCGCATGCTCCTTCCGCCATGAGATTCCCGACGACGTCCGTGCCACCCTGTCGCAGTACGACATGGGCGTTCGCCATGATGGTCCAAGCGATGACTAAGTCGTTGAAGTGCTGGTGTAAACACCCGCGCAAGACGACTCCGTTGCTGTACAGGTCGCACGCGAGGACCACCGGGCTGTTCAGGCGGATGAGACTACGGATGCGACGGAGATCATCGATCCGCCCGAGAACTTGGCAGACTACCCTGGAGGTGCGGATGCTATCAAACATGCCACCGGCACAGATATGTGTACATGGATATCAAAACCATTGATCGACAAACTTGTTTGCGACATTCGCCAGCACATCGACGTCACGCACCTCAAATATGCACGCACGCTCGAATTTCATATCGATATTAATAATCGCTTCATCACTGAGATGGGATTCTACAACATACCTTCGATCATCGCATCCAATGGGCTATCTATATTCCGGATCTTTGCGGCTGCAACACCTTCACCCACGCGCTGTTGTGGCATTTGGGTTGCCCGGATCACGCGAGCAAATGTGGTCACTTCGAGTAGATCCCTAACATATACGTGGCACTATCCACAGCAGCGCGGGACCTCTCGGTCGAGAGCAGCCTCATACATCTACATCGTAATCACTCGGGACTCATTCCGGTGCGGAAGTTGTGGGGCGATGCTCTCGCGGCCGACGTGTCATTCCAAGGGTTTCTCCAATCAGGGCTCCCATTGTTCCGCAGCCGGCCGGGCGAAAGTCCCGCGCGCGCACAGCAACCTGGCGCGCGTATTTCTACGGCTGACGCCAATCACTCTCCGCGCCCATCTGAAGAGGTCGGCCCCGAGGGGCCCCGCAAGTCTCCAGGGCCCAAACCAGGCCCGGGAAGCTCCGCTTCTGCATCTCTTTCCGCTGATCTCGCCACCGATAGCGCTCGCGCGATCCTCGATCCGGCACTCCTCGATCTTGGTCGTTCGTTGAGTGCCGGTGGAAACGCCCGCGAGCGGATTGAGCATTGAGACGCTCGCCCAGGCAGGAGCGCCCGACATTCGGACGGATCAGCGATGCTTCCAAAATGCCCCCGTGACCTCCCCGCCAATTTCAGCGACCACACCTGCGAGATGCGTGCGAACGCTTTCCAGTTTGGCGAGGCAGGCGAGGATGAAGTTGCTTTCGTTGCAGGTGTCAAGCATTTGGATCCGTGATTATCTGAGTGAAAACGTCGCGCGTCAGCTAGTGAGCGCAGACGTCAGCATCGCATGCACAGGTCAGAGATCCGACATCTAAACTGAGAAGAATAATATCAGGAAGCTCGCCTTGAAGGCCGAGAGAAGGCATGGCAGGTGGATTGCCGCAGGGCGCCTGTCTGCACGCGCGTGCCGATTGGCCGGCGCTCTCGTTGATGAAGAGGATGAGGCAACAGTCATGTGCCATCCGTGCGAAAACGTTGCACTACGCTTCCAGGAATATCCTGTCTTTTGGCAGCAGAGAACACGTGAGCGCGCAATGAGGAACCAGCCCCCCATCACGCTCGTAGACATGCAAGTGGCCATGCGCCTGCATGCCGAGAGCGTGGATAAAGGTTCTGCTGGGCGAGAGTTGCCGCACCTGGTGCGATGACTCGCGCTGAGCGCATCAAAGTGAGGTTCGTGACCTTCTCCATTCCGAAAGGGGGCGAGACGCGTCGAGGCTGCGTGGCCCCGGCGCAGCTCGGAGCGCGGCGTCGCAGCGCAGCGGGCGCGAAAGGGGGTAGGGCCTTCGGCTAGGGGTGCGATCCCGCCGCTGACCCCCGCTCCGCCCCGCCGCCCGCGCCTCCGCCGCCGCGCCGCGATGGGCCTGCCATGGGCGCTGCCTCCTCCGCGGGCGCGGCGTCATCTGGCGGCCCTGCTCCTGGCGACGCTGGCTGGACTGGCGCGGCTGCGGCAGCTGCTGCCGCGCCGATTGCGGCGAGAGCGCGGAGGCCGATTGCGCCGCCGCGCCGGCCGCGAGGCTCGCAACGCATGATCAGCAAGCGCAGTCGGAGCGTCACTCGCAGGACGCTTCCAGAGGCTTGGTGGCGCTGCCGCCTCGAGCACTACCGCGATGAGCGACTGGTCGTACCACTTGAGCAAATGGATCTACGTCGCATCGACGAGTGCGATTGCGAGTGCGCTTGGGTTGACGACATCACTGCGCGTGCGAGTGGAGATTTTGCCGATCGTGGAAATCAGACGTGGGGTCGTGCATGCGATGGCCCAAAGATGTTTCATATGTAATCAAGTCTACATCTACAGTACGTTTCATCGACTTTTGCACGATTGCTGTCAGGAGACACATTTTATTTCACGGACAGGCGCTACGATTATGTATACTGGTTTTGTTGGCACCATGGGCATGAACGCACCCAGACAGGCCGCCCGCCGCAAATCTCGCGCACAATCTTGTCATATCATCGAGTTCAATTTCGTGTGATGTCGGTTACCTGGTGGAACGACATATGCAAATCATGGTTCCCATGACCCATGTCAGTGATGTTATCCTCCTCGAACGGTGTTTGTTATACTTCGCAAGTAGTTTGGGCCTGGAGTCCCCCCGTGGGTAAACTTGTTATGCTAGCCTCCTTTGGATCAGTTGTCGTCGCAACTTTGATCACCTGCGTAATCTTGAAGATTATTGCGTGGGTAGCTTCGCGCCGGCATATTTCCCGACCGTGATTTTTGGGGCCCGCCGCGCCATGAGAGCGATTCCTTGCGTGATTGTCATGTCGATCAGTTGTTGTCACAACTTCGATCGCACACCAATTATTGAATTCATGTTTTGGGTTGCTTCGCACCCGCGCATTTTGATTTGCGAGCTCTTTGAATATCATATGCGCCTTTCGCGCATGCCTGTGCGCAGGATGTTGTGCGCCGGTGGAAACACCTGCGTCGTTGTACTTTGGCAGTGCGCTCGACGCATGATTCTCTGTTCCTCGCTCTCTTGCTCTCCCGACCTCGCAGCCAGTGGAGACGGGGAGTCGTCGAGGTGTGTCGAAGCGTTTTTGGGGGGCGCGCCCTCGGCACGCTAAAGGCGGGTAGGCTCCCCTAAGCGCCCCGCGCTGTGTGGTTAGTTCATCCTCGCCCACCTTCCTAGCCGAGTTGGGCCCCGTTTGGGGGGCGCTGAGGCTGGAAAGGTGATTTGGGATGTCCTCGCACCCCTGTTCCCCGTGGGCCCGAGGCCAACGTGGAGCGGGCGGGATTCGGGGCGGTGTGTGTGTGTGTGTGTGTGTGTGTGTGTGTCTGTGTCTGTGTCTGTGTCTGTGTCTGTGTCTGTGTCTGTGTCTGTGTCTGTGTCTGTGTCTGTGTCTGTGTCTGTGTGTGTGAAGACCGTTCAACTTCCTTTTCGATTTATTTTTCCTGCTATCCTTTCGGTTCAGGCGATGGACATCTTGAGCGCCCTGGGCCCGACGGGCGCGAGGGCAAAACAGTCTCATCTTTTATCCTTCTCGTCCTCTACTTACGGACCGTGCGGTAGGTTCGACTCATTGGTTGGTCATTAACCTCCTTTCGCATCCTCTTCATCCTCCTCCCCTTCGCCCTCCTCTGCCTCTTCCTCTTCGTTCTCCTCGTCTTTTCCTGTTTTCATTTTTCTTCCTGCTACTCCTCCTCAATTCTTTGTCCTTGCAGGTAACTGTTGTCAGTGTCGCATTCCGAGGCGGGTCGAAATGGCGGGCCGGGCGTTCCGCCGCAGATTTCCCCACCATTTATGGCCCTGATATTAAACATTGACAGCATTTTCACATATGGAGGGTGGGCCGCTTCCAACATGGGGTTCCCGCCTTAGCGCCGCGCGCATGTATGTATATATGCATGTATGTATGTATATGTGTATGTATATGTATATGTATATGTGTATATGTATATAATCGAATAGTTTCATGGATTGAGGGCGGGCAGTTTAAAAAGATGTGGCTCTCGCCCCAGCCCCGCGCGCACTCTTGCCAAACAGTTGGGAACGCTTCACGGATTGAGGGCGGCTCGTTTTTACAATGTGGCTCTCGACTTAACGCCAGGCGCATTCGTTTTTTTTTGAAGTTGCAAAAGTTCGCGGGTTGAGGGCGGCTTGTTTTTCAAAATGTGGTTCTCGTTTAGCGCCGCACATTCGTTTAGACAAATTTCAAGAGTTTTGAAGATTAAGGGCGGTTTGTTTTCAACGTGTGATTCTCGCCCTAGCGCCGCGCACCTTCTTTGTAAACAAGTGCAGGAGTTTCACGGGTTGAATGCGGTTCCTTTTCAACATGTGGTTCTCGCCATAGCGCCGCGCACATTCGTTTCAACATTTGCAAGACTTGCATGGGTTCTAGTGGTAACGTACCAAACATGGTGTTTTGGAGGGGTTCAGGCTTGTTTGGGCGCGCGGTGTTGAAGTCCCAAGAATGGCGTTCTGGCGCGATTCAGGACCGCCAAAACGTTACAGTCAGGTTACCTCGTGCCTTTGAAGTCCTAAGAATGGTGTTTTGGCACGCGCCAAGATGTTCACATGCGTGTTCCCCGACGGGGTAATGTCCTCAATGGAAATGACCCTTTGTAGGGGCCTGTGAAGAGGTATCTTGGAGGGAGGGTGTATTTCAACATCGTTGATGACCCTTGGGCTTGCACTGGTCTTCCTCTTCCCCCGCCTCAGCAGCCTCGATCCACGCCTGCCAGGACGGCCACCAGTTCCCGCACATACCGTGCAGCTGCTGCAGCCGAACCACTCCGAGGCGCCTGGGACGGAGAGCCTGAAACCGCCAGAGAACCGCGCAGCTTTCCGCCTCATTGCGCGTCCTTCAAGGGAGTCCACGGTTCGGTCGGTTCGGCTGCGTCGCTCAGGGGCAACGTTAGGGGGGCACAGGGTCAGGAGGAAATGTATCGACACCCCCTCGCCAACTCATCGCCGATAATGGCTCGATCGCCCACCCCGCCCAGGACCGTGCGGATTCCGCATCGGGGCCTGTAGCCAATGTGTCGGCGATGCATGGCCGATTCCAGCTCGATGTTTCCCTCCTTGAGCCGGTCCCCCTTGACGTCCTCTCTCGTGTCGACGGTTCGGTCGGTCTTGCTGCGTCGCGGTCGGTTTCGGTCGCTGCTCCGTCGACTGCGCCCTTTCAGCTGCACTCGCTCGGTTCGGTTTGACCGCGACCCCGTTGGCCAACCTCTGCTTCGGTGAATGTAGTGGGTGGGGAACGTGGTGAGAGTTGGCATTGCGGTCGGGAACTGAGCTTAGCGCGTCGCTCCGCTGGTTCTGGCCCGCCGCGCTTCGGCGCGACGCGCTATCCACGTCCCAGTCCCGGAGCGTCAGCGTCTCGAGTTTGCCCTGGCATCCCGCCCCGCGGAGCGAAGCGACACGCTATCCGCTTGCAGGGCATAGCGTGTCGCCAGAGCCGCCGCCGCGACACGCTGAGCAAACGTTCATGACCGTAGCGAGTGTGGGGTTGGCATTGCGCGATGACTGTGTGGCGGCATCTTTGTTTCAACTGTTGGTCACGCGGCTGGGTCAAAGATAACCACGCCTTGTTGAAGCATGCCGGGGCTCATCCAACAAGGGACGGCTCTGTGGCGTGTGTGTTTTACGCTTGGGTGCGTGTCTGCCAGCGTTAAGCATTGTTGAGGGCGTTTGTTAACAGCCTCCCAGCTGTGCCCTCGATAGTTTCACGGTCTTTCATTTTTTGCATTTCGTGTCCTGAAGGTGTCTTCGGAACATCTCAGGCGGAATCCAGAAACTAAGGCGACCGTCACCGCGGATTTCGGCTCGAGGCTCGTGGAGGAGGAGGAGAGAGAAAACAGCACTGATTATTCTCGTTCCTTCTCCAGGGGCGGTGCGCGAGCTCTGTCCTCCTGAAACATTCGATACAATCAAAAATGGCTACCGCGGTTGGCGATGGGCGACCTCGTCATGTCAACGCAGCCTCACTAACATAATCCTTACGAGCTGATCCTTAGTAACAAGTCCTTGCTTTGATCGTCTTATTCGAGGCTACGTATTCCTCATGCAGATACCATTGCCTATCATGGGTCAAGATACAGTGCCAAACCCACACCCCTTACTGGATAACCCTGGGCCAGGGACTTAGACGAAACGAATCTCCAGGAACGAACCCCCGCTAAACGAATCCATTGATTATCCCTCCCTGAACAAATCCGCCGATCAAGCGTGTCAGTTTCAGAGCCTAAGCTACAGCCTACAGCCTGATCTTCGGCTCTGCTGGGGGAAAGGCCAGGGTGGCTCTGCTGGGGAAGGGGAGGGGGCGGGGGCTGCTCCGCCTGTGCTCCGTTTTCTGGGCGGGGCTGGGACACATACAAATAATTTAAATTCCCAACCCTGGGGTCAAGAGAGCCCAAGATGACCGACAGTTATTTCCCAGACGGCTCCTGATGCACCCAAGATGGCCCTGGATGCCCTCCAAAAGTGGCCCGAAGAGGCCTAAATTATTCATTTCCCTCCTGCAATCGAAGGATTTGGGCGCTTCATTCTTTACAGCCTTCGACGGCCCCAGATGCCCCCAAGATCGCCCCAGAGGCAGTCAAGATGGCCCTATGACGACCCAAGAGGCTCCGAAGACCGCCCCAAGAGGGTCCCAAGACGGCCCCATCGGCCCCCAGGACGGCCAAGATAGCCTCCAAGATGGCCCTGAAGCGCCCCCAGAGTGCTCCCAGACGGCACAGCGAGGCGCCCAAGACGGCTTCGACTGCGTCCGACGGGCCAGGAACGCCCCAAGACAGCCCAGCAGGCTTCCAAGAAGCCCCCAAGAGGCTCAAAGACCCCTCACGAGGCCTCCTCCGACGGCCCCAAGAGGGCCCCAAGACGGCCCCATAGGCCTCCAAGCGAACCCGACCACCATCGGGAGCGCCCTGGGTCGGCGGAACTGGCCAGAGACCACTACATGTTTTGTTCGTACGAATTTCACTGAGTAGTGACTACTGCGCGCGGCACGGCGGAACTACGAATATTGGCAACAGACGGGTAGAGTGTTTTTGCGCACGCGTGCGCGAATTTGTGTGTTGCGCGCGTTTGACACGTATGTATGTGCTTGTGTGTTTTGCGCGGCGTGGCACGTGTGCTAGGTTTGGTGCGTGCTGGGTTTCGGGCCTGCGGAGAGAAGTGCCACGTCCAAGCATTGGGTATGGCGTTGGGGGGCGCGCCCGTAGTTCTCACCGGCCTACGCCCTGCTCCCGGGGCCGCGGTGCCGGGCGTGGCCTAGCCAGCTACGCCGGCACGTCCACAGACCGCCGAGTCGGACAGGATCACTGTTGGGCGGGGGCTGCGCACTTCTTTGCTTCCCGTCGGGAGCTCTTTCGCGTCTCGATTGCTGCGCTGCACGGTACGGCGCCTCTCCAGGCCCGTGAGTGCCCAAACCGCCCGGTTGGGCCGGGGGCAACGCCTTTTGGGCGCCCGAGGGTGCTCGGGGTACAGTGCCGATTGACACGTGGGCCAGCGCTCGAGGGCGGCCAACCCCAGGACGGGGGGCCCTCAGGTTCCCCTCGGCCTGAGTGGCCCCCGCAGTCGCCCCCATGGTGTAGTGCGTGGCCGGGTGCGGAGTGGAATGGAGACCCCCTGCTCTGGCACTTGGCTGCGGCTCCCTCATTTGTTTCACACCGCGACGTGTCGCTTCGAACTTGCGCGGGGGCGGGAGGGCACGACTCGCTGCCATGTGCGTGCGGGGGCGGTTGGATTCTTTTGAATCTTCTCCCGTACGCCGGGTAGCGTAAGGCTGGCTGCCGCCTGATCACCGGGGTCTGGCAGACTCTGGTTCTGTCTTCGCGCGGGTCTTCTGGGCCGATCCTGAGGTGTCTCTCCGTGGTGCCGCGCTGATGCAAATCGACCCTTTTCGGGTATCGTGCCGTCTGGATTGGGGTGTGGGGGGGTGGGATGGGGGGCGGGCGGGGAGGTCCAGGGGCATTCGTGGTCGGGGGCGGCAGATGCCGGAGTGGTCATTTGGGGAGTACGCGTGTTTCGCCTGTCAGTCGGGTCGTCGTCGCCCTCCAGGGTCACCCTTTTGCGCTGGGAGGTGGCCTTGCACCGCCTCCTCGGGTGGGGGGTCTTGCACCCCTGGCGGCGAGGGGCCTTGCACCCCTTTCCTGACCGACAGGCGGGGAGGACGCACGTCGCGGGGAGGTTTGCCGGACGGGCTAGAATTCACAACGGCACATGCCTTGTTGGAGTTCCGCTCACACTCCATCAGCTGAGATACGGTCCTAAGGGCGTTCCGGGTTGAAGGTCGTATGGGCGCTCCAGGTTGAAGGCGGTGAGTGTGTGTGTGTGTGGAACTGTCGGCGCACAGTGCGAGTCGTGCGCTTCTGAAGGTGTGCATGCGAAGTTGTCTTGAGTGCCAGTATTCGATTTCTTGTTGGCGCCTCAATCATCGGCATGTTCTTCCAGGACGGGCGTCGCAAGGTCCGATATTCCGATGAGGCGCCTTCATGGTACGGTCCTTGACCCTGGTACACCCAGTATGGGGCTCCGGTTACCAAGGGGATCTCTCCGCCTCGTCACTCCTGGTCTTCTCTCCCTCCCTCACCTCTTCTGCTCTGGGGGCTTTCGGGGTGGGGTCCGTCGCGGTGGGGCGGAGGATCGGGCTCCCCCTCGTGCCTCTCCCGGCACGGGGTCCCCGCCCCCGCCTCGTCGCGGCGCACTTCACCCCTCCGGGGTTGGGGTCCGGGGTCCGGGTCCTGCTGGGGAGACGAAGGGCGGCCTTTAGGCTTACATTCCCTTCCACCAGTACCAGTACCAGTACGGTTCTTTCTGAGCAAGTGCTATAACAAAAGCCGTAGTATGTAACACTAGGTAAGGAGGATCGTCACTAATGAATCCCAGCTGCACGAGTCCGAAACCACGAATCTTCACTGAACGAATCCTCATCACCATACTTTCCAGTGCGCGAATCCCCACGGAAATAATCCACACTACGTAATCCTTATGCGCACCAGCTTCATGAAGCAATCCATCTTGAACGGGTCCTCTTGGAACGCATCATCACCAAACGTCTCCTCGCTAAACTGAACCTCGGCAGCCGAGTCCTCAGTACACGAGCCATCGTTAACATAATCGCTCTATGTAGCCGTTTCTGCGTTTCTCTTGCCAGCTCCTATCAAATTGTGTGCCTGTGTGTGTTTTTGCTGGAAGTGTATGTGTCAAAGCCTGTGTTGAGTAGCCACGACAACACGATGCTCCCACGGTGCACGTGCTTTTCCTTTGCACCCTGCGCTTTCAGCACAGTCTCCCTGGGCGCAGGATGGGCCTGGCCAGGGGCGGTGGGTATGCACAACCCTCGCCGCCCTCCCCTTGGGGTGCCGACCGCTGCCCCAGGGCCAGCTTCGTCGCGAGCTGTTCTTGACGGCCTTGGGGCTCGGCGAGCCCCCCCAAAGTTGAGATTTGTCAGGAAGTCGTCGTGACATGTCCACGGCGCACGGACGGAGGACTAGGCCACCCCCGAGAATCGGCCGTCTGACCCGTCTTGGGGCGCTCCCGGACAATGCATTTCAGCGTGGATCCAGCCGTGGCGACGAGGGGCCCCCGCGACGAGGCGCGCCCAGGACCGGCCTTCGGCGGCGGAGTGGAAGATAGGGGGGGGAGCCAGAGTAAGCTCTAGATGCGTCGACGAAGTTGCCATACACCCTCCCGTCCTAAGGCCGCTCCTCGTACGTCCCTGCACGCCTTCCTTTTCGCTAGAAGAGACGCCTCCCGAAAGTACGAGCACCCGGTGTGATTGCCATTCATGCGAGAGCTCCGTTCTGAAATGAGCTGTTTTGCCT